CTCTTTTGAATTAAAGAAAGAAAAAACTCTCTACCATATTGACTCTTTTGCTGACAGAAACATTTGAGGAAAACAGGAAAATAGATTCTTCTACATCGAAATACTTTCAAAAGCTCTAGGGCAGATACCAGTGTGATGGTAGGTATACGTACCGATTTTTGCCCTTGAGACTCAAGCCTATGAGATTCATTTTTCTCTTGTAAAGTTAACACATTTTGAAAAACAAATTAAAGATGCTTTTCAGTCTGATGTTATCCTTCAAGGTTTAAGTTATCTTATACACTAATTTTCAAGAACAGCAAAACTTCTGGTGGGTAAAAAAAGTCTCAAATTTTGAAAAAATTTTCTGAACTTTTTTTGTTTTCCTTTTTGAACTTTAAAATCATGATGGCATCTGCACAGATCGAACATAGGCTGTGACATTGTTTCTTTTGAGTATTCTTAACAGTGGTATTGACATATGAAGAAGCTAAAAGGCTAGAAACAGCAAGAAGCAGCAGGGACAATGAATGCTGTTTTGTCATCTGTGCAGAAATAAGCATTGAATGAATAGCCATTGTACTGTTGGAAATGTTGTACCAGCACTGGCAACTTTGTTGATCTTGGAAACCTACTGTTTTCTAATCTGTGCTGGGTGACAGAACTCAAAAATTGAGTTCCAGTAATATTTGCTTATTAATGAATCAGACTCCGTTCAAGACATTCCTTGCTATTGATTTTTGCATTAGTCAATAGTTTTTATTGATAAGCCACTGAGACCAGAGCAGGGTATTTTGGTCGGTGCTGCCTAAGACTGAAAGAGAAATACTTCATTTTACAAGGCTGGACTCTGCAGCTAGACTGCTGGCTTCAAATCCTGGTTCTGCTGCTTACTGGCTGGGTAAGAGTGTTGGACCTCGCTGGACCTCAGTTTCCTCATTTACAAAACAGGAATAATAACAGAAACTATGTCAAAGTGCTGTTGGGTGATTAAATGAGCCAATGCCAGGAAAGGGTTTGGAACAGCTACTGGCAGTTAGTAAGCACCAATTGCTACTATTAAGGTAAATTGTAAAAAGTTTCGTTTTAATGGGAGTGGTAGATATGTGAGCTATTTACAAAAACAAAACAAAGTGACCACAAAGGAAACAAAGTTGACCAGAAATTAGAGATGGGCACTGAACCCTAGTTCTACTATTGCTTTGATACATGCTGTATCCTGTGTGATAAATGAAGGTCTCAATAGTTGCCCCAATGCCCCACAGCTTGATAAAGAGAACAAAATGAAATAATGTTCACTTTCCACATAACCTCTTCCTAAATTTTTTAGCCAAAATTAATTGCCCCTTCTTGGGCAATCCCTGTGCTGTTGACTTGTATTTTTGTCATGACCCTTAACACACTAAGTCTTGTACTATAGTTAATTATTGATGTGCTTCTTTCTCCAACCAGATAAAGGTCTTGGTGGTGGAGACACTGTCTTACTCACATCTAAAAATCATCTAGCACTGTGACTTGAACATAATAGACATGTAATAAGTGTTTATTAAAGAGGGCTCTGACAAATATAGCTTGACATATAAACAGAATTATTATCATTATTACTATTATGACTACTACTATATGTAACTTTACAGGGTATAATTACATGGGTTATTGGCCTGAATTCGAGTGGTAGAATTGGGTGGGGTTTGAATGGAGCAACCCACACAGGGATTATTTATATAAATTGTGGCTTCGTGTATTTTTGTTTTCTCTCCGCATTATCCCTGTACATTAAAATGCACACATTAGATGCAGCAAGTATGTTTCTAGCTTTTAATTGGGCCAGATGTGAAATAATCAATTATTACGGGGTTGCAAAAAGCCTTCTAATCCTTCCATGTTGTTACCATATGATAAATGAGGCTTATGGAAATAACTACTTAGGTTTTTGTCTAGATTCCAGCTAAAACTTGGGGATTTATTTATTTATTCACTTATTCTTAAAAAATATTTCAATGTGCCTTTGCTACATGCTAGACAGTGTGCGAGGTGCTGCATCAGAGCAGTGGGGACCCACAGTATTCAAGTCTATTCTGTATGGACAAACAGGAATCTTCATTAAGAGGCAAACAAAATCAAACACTGTAGTCTGAACAGACTTGAAAACACAGTTGGGGATCTTTGATCTTAGTTGAACACATTAGATGATTTCCTCTTCTTGCCGTAATGGGATCTATCAACATGATAAATGTAGTGCTCATATTAGGGTATGTCCATTGCACTGATGGAAAATCTACATTTAAAATGTATGGGGCTTACTCTTAGAGGGCTTTTACCCTAAGACAAGGGTATAAGGAGAAGAGTGGCTGGGCCACTAGAAACTGTGCTGAGAACTGTCATCGTTTTCATGCCTGGATTTGGGCGAGTTGCCTAACCTTGTTAGGTCATCTATAAAACTAGGATAATAACAGGCTGTTCCTAGATTTCCTCAGAGAATTAGGTTTACAAACTCAAGAGGAAACTGCTGCCTTTTCAATTCTGTGGCGAGGTCGTCAATTTGATGTCCATAGACACTATTAGAGGTATATGTGAACATACAGATCAAATTAAGTAATTTTCTCTCTTAAAGTTCACTAGAGTGACCTAGTGTCCATAGTTCTGAAGTGTAAGGAACGGGAAGCAATAGAGAAATATGCATTTATTCATCTGGTTTGTATGTGTGATGTATGGATGTTTTTCATCACTCTATGCTATTTTAAATGCATTGTTAAAGCAAAGTTCTTAATGAGACATGTGCTTTCATATATCATAAACCTCTGAAATCATATTTTTAATTTAAAGTAAAAATAATTTAAAATGGAGTAACTATGCATGCAATTTCTTTCAAAGCACAAAGCTTTGCAAATTTGCATCAAAATAAAAAATCAAGACTGCTTAATTAAAACCTTGACACCATCAACCTCTTTAATTACGTGTTAAAGAGACAAGCATCCTGGGGATACCAAGTTAAAATCTGTACATTCTGATCATCTCTGGTGTGTGTACATGAGTAGTTCACAGAAGGGGAGAAAAAAGAGGTGCTTTAATAGAAAGGAAAAGAAATTATTGAAAATTTCTCTGGACATGAGTCATTTCATACTTTTTAAAACAGTTATGAAGAGGGCAAATTTGTCTTTTCAGAAGAAGAATGAAGAATAGAAATTTAGGGCAGAATGTGTCATCTCTATTCTATGTCTAAATTTCAATGCATGCTTTTTAAACACTAAATTTTTTATTTAATAATTGTGACTTAGAAGACACAGTTCTAAGACTTGACTACTGGTTGCTTGGATGTATTCTATAGACCATATTGAGTAAATGGGGGAGGAGTGAGCTGTTTATTTCACTGCTTCTCTAGAGTATATAAATTTTGTAGTAAAATGACTGCTTTTCTTTACATCTGAATTCTTGCTGTCTTCACTATTATGTGTCTCTTCCCAATTTCTTTTGCTAATGGGGAAGCCAGCAGCTCTTTGTTCTCATTGTGTCTGTTGTCTCCCTTTCTTTGTGTTGCAGGGATCCTGCTACCCGCATCTGCCACTGAGCATGCGGAAAAATCCTCAATAGATTCTTTACTTAGGACTTTCAGGAGTATTACTCCACTTCTCCAGGTTTTAGTAGTCACCAGAATATCCAGAAGATAGACCGACTCTTGGAAAGGTGATACAGGTGGTTAAGTGGTAGTCTAGCAAGGGGGACCTCCAGATAGGAAGGGTCCGGGTAACTGTCACACATACTTCTCTAATTTATGGAAGCTCTCACCATGCAAGTTAAATGCACATCACCCAACCTACAGGCAGAACCACAGATATTGATTGATAACTGAGAAGACACAAGTGTTTCAGAGCAGGAGGGCACAGAGCTGTATCTAAAACCAATGATACAATGTGCTAGCAGTTCCAGAGGCTGTGGAACATTGTCACAAGGATGGGTATGTAAAGTCCCCGAGCAGGAACTCTCACTAGATAGCCTATCATCTGAGGATGAGAACCAGTTGTGTGGACTTTTCTCATAATAAAATCTTAGACTTTTCTCTGATTGTGTTAAACACTTGCAATGCTAAGTCAATATTCGTTGACTGAAACCGGATTCAATTCTTCTGCCTAAAAGCCTCCCCCACTCCCCCCAAGGCAGACTGGCCAATGGTTTCCAAAAGATTTAAGAAGAGCAGGCTTGCAGGTGAGTTCAGGGACATTGGGACAGAGTTCTAAGGTTTTGTTTTTCTCTGGCCCCTTCCACCCCGTAAGTCTGACCTAATAGGTTGTAAATTATTAAAGAGATGGAGCACTATACAATTTTACTCATGTTTCGCCTATAATGATTTTTGCTTGTTCTGTTCACTGCTTGATGGCCAACTCTTAGAATCGTGTCCAGAACAGTTAAGTGCTCAAAGATCTTTTGTCTGATAAATATAAGAATACGCATAGTATGGAAAATGCTCTTGCTTTATTATCACAAACATTGGTGGTAACAGAATAATTTGAATTCGACTATTTTAGAATAAACTAAACACTTGGCTCTTTGGTAGCTGGCCACTCTCAGGATTTCTTCTTTCTCCTCGGCCTCCTCTCTCCCACCATTTTGTTTCTGTATTACCAATTAGTGGATTAATAGTATTGTCTCAAAGTCTTTCTGTTCCACGTTTTCACTTTTCATTCCTTACGATAACGTCCCCTGGCCCTCTGGTTCTTTATAGGTTTCATTAGCCAGTGGTTAGTGGCTAAGGTCATTGAGCACAAGTGCTCTCGGAGCCTAGCAAACCAGCGGGCGCCGGGTGCTCTCCTCTAGGGCAGACACCTGAGGCCGCTTTTGGGGAACCCCGGCTGAGAGATCCGCACAGTTGGCTTCTCTCCACAGCTGCGGAAGGGCCTGTGGCGGGAAAGCTCAGGCCAGGTCTAATCAGGCACCTAGGGCTAGGTGGCGGGGGCGGGGGGCCCCCCGGGACCCCCGGCCCCGCAGCCTGCCCCGCCCTCGCGAGCGCCTCTTCCCCCCGGCAGGTCCTCCACCGGCCCCGCCCACCCGGCGTTCGCGCCCCGCCCCGCCCCGAGGCCGCGGCTAAAACCCGGAGCCGCCGCGGCGCCCAAGGGACTGGAGGGACGCTCTGAGCATGTGCAGAGCTGTTTGGCGGCGGCTGCTTCGGCCGGAGGCTGGGCCCCGGTGCTGATGCGAACAGCCGGCTCGGCCTCTGCTCCAGCGTGGTCGGCGCCCCGGGCCCGGGTGGCAGGGAAGGAGCCGTAGCCTCCCCGCGGCCCGAGGAGCAGGCGCGGCGACGCGCACTCTCTGCCCCCGCTCCCGCCCCCGGCGGCCGCGGCGCCTTCGCGGCCCACGATGATGGCGGAGCAGGTGAAATGCGCCTCGGCAGGGGGCGGCTCCGGAGCGGGCTCCGGGCCGGTGGTGAACGCGGAGCTGGAGGTGAAGAAGCTGCAGGAGCTAGTGCGCAAGCTGGAGAAGCAGAACGAGCAGCTGCGGAGCCGGGCGGCTAGCGCGGCCGCCGCCCCGCACCTGCTGCTGCTGCCGCCGCCGCCGCCCGCCGCGCCGCCCCCCGCCGGGGCCTGCAGCCCGTTGGGTCCGCGGAGTCCCCCGGCCGCCGCCGCCTCGGGGGGCCTGGGGCTCGGGCTGGCGTTGGGCGCCGGGGGCGGCGGCAGCGGCGGCTCCAGCCCCGCGTTCCCGGGGACCTACTGCCTGCCCAGCCCGGCGCCCTCCCTGCTCTGCAGCCTGGCGCAGCCCCCCGAGGCGCCTTTCGTCTACTTCAAGCCGGCGGCGGGCTTCTTCGGCGCGGGCGGCGGCGGGCCGGAGCCGGGGGGCGCGGGGACGCCGCCGGGGGGAGCCGCCGCGCCGCCCTCGCCGCCCCCCACGCTGCTGGACGAGGTGGAGCCGCTGGACCTGGAGAGCGTAGCCGCCTGGCGGGACGAGGACGACTACACCTGGTATTGCCGAGCTCCGCTCCCTCCCCCGGGACCCCGGCCTCGGAGGCCCGGGGACGGCGGGGAGGGCGTGGGTAGGGAGGGAGAGGGGGACCTCGCCATTGCCCCCGGACGTGGTGGCCTGGCAGGTGCCCAACTCGGCGAGGAGCGGGGGCTTTTCGCGAGGGCGGAAACCTGTTTCTCCTAGCTCAGGCTGAGCCAGCTGGGGATGAATTGGTCCCCTCCATCTCCCTATCTTCTGCTCTCGGCTGATGATTCGGTCCCAGGCTCCCTGTTAGCATCAACTGAAAAATCCGTGCCGTCTTTTTGTTACTCAGCCCTGCTTTTTCTCCCGTCATTTTTTGGGAGTAGCGGGGGTTGGGTAGGGGTTGGCCTCAGTCTGCGACTGTTCCTGGTCTTTCCTCCCAAACGAACGAACGTTGGACAGGATTTGCGTGTTGTCTCTTCCCGTGGCATCCCAAGCCTCCTAGGGATGGATCTCTCCTCAGAGATTCGTGCTTGCAGTTTGAGTTGTGTAGTCGCATATCCTCATTCGCCGCATTTTCGTTGATAGCTTCTCATTTCAAAGACAGACTTGCTTTTTTTGAAATCTGCTGCCCTCACTGGCTTTACTTGTCAGTAATGGTGTCAAAAATGAGGGCTTTTTCAGGGAATGGAGTGGGCAACTTGAAAGCACTGTTACTTAGAAACCAAGGATCTTTAATTTTTAAAATCGAACCGTTGATTGAAGAAAAGTGAGATTCAAGAAGCTTTATTATTATTATAGAAACTGTAAGTTGGTTATCAGAAAACTTGTAGCTGGCAGCATCTTTTCATTTGAAATCTGGCTAGCTCTTTCTGCTTTCCATCCATGAGCAGCTTTGGTGGGGATGTCTAATTCCCTTATTTTTCATGCTGTTTTCTCATGGAGTAAGTCCTTTCATAACTGACTTCATTTGGTTGGTTCGTTTGCTTTCCTCCATCAGGAGAGGTAGTGGGACATGGTAAGATGAGTAGAAGCCTCAGAGAAGGTCAAACTTAAATTCCTGCAGGGAAAATGAACAGCATTCACCTTTCCATACCTGCGGCCCCATGAAGAACAGTTGTTCTTTTTATCTTGGGTCCTTCTACTTAGGACCCTTCCTGTTTTTGCAAGCTGGGTTTTCCTCACTTTCTCCGTGGTCCTGTTGCATGATCGCACAGGGGGAATGGGAGACGGAGAACCTTACTGGCTTTCTGTTGAGACCTGTGGTGTTCCCTTATACTCTTAGTGGGAGCTCCGACTGTAAGTATTAATTGGGTTGATTCAGAGCATCCAAATGTTAATGGTGCTACAAGAAAGCATACTCCTCCTCCTTAGTACTCCACCTGTGGGCAACTGTGCTGGTAGCTCGGGTTGTAAAGATCAAAACAACTCACCACTTTGGGGAGCTTTAAGCCTTTCTTCAGAAATGACACCTTTGTTTTTGTGAAGCCCAGGCTGTGTTATAAGCTGAGTTTCAACCTGAACATGGTACTAGAAAATGCTCTCATGGTGGTCATTCTTAGGTTATAAAAACTATAAGCCCTTATGCTACTTTCAAATTATATTACCTTGATTTAGTGCCCACTTGGCCTTTTCTGGAGATACACGTCTGTATTTTTGATGGGCATCAATCCTGTGCATTAAAAATGTTAGCATTTTTAAACATTATATACTTCCTATTTTGTAAGTGTATTCAATTGGGGTAGTGTACACATAGCTCATAATTGTAATATTTTCTTGCATTGAATGGACTTCTACCTATTTAATTATCATCCAGCTACTGCTAGAATTTTGTTATGTAGGCTTTTTGTAGTTTATTTTTTGTCAAAATAGTATTGGAATAACTTTGGGGAAAAATGACCTGCTTAGTGGGATTACTGTTAGCACTTCAGGTGGTTTGAAGTGAATGTAAAGTATAGCAGGTTCTACTAATTTAACTCATCAGATATTTAGGGAAGTACATAAATCAGTGCCTTGACATTTTACAGATGTTCCCACAGACAAGGGGCACACTGTTTTGTGGCCTTTCTCAAAACAAATTTAGGATTAGAATCCCGTGTGGAAAATGGAGGGATCATTACTCTTAGGTGGGATGTAATTAAAAAAAAATTAAGGTCATCTGATATACAGAAAACTTTCTGTCCTGGCATCTTATACATTAAAATATTTTTGTATTGCAGTATTTTGGCTTATTGATGAACAAATAAACAGGTCTAATTCTCAAAGTTTAACCCACTTGTTAATGCTTGCAGAGCTCTCTGATGTTCCTTCATCGCTGCAAACTGTCCCTGTCCTGTAGTCTCACAAATAGGGTGTTTTTCATTTGGATTGCCTAGTAGGTTTGCAGGGAGGCAACTTATTTTAATTTCCCCTGTTAAGAAACAACTGTAGTGTTGTACCTGATTATTTTAAAAATACTTAAAAATAGTTTTACATTTTCACTGTGGAAGGAAAAAAAAAAAACCCCACAGATGTGAGTATGAAGTCACAGGAGTCTTCCCTCTTGTCCTCAATCCACTACCATGATTCAGAGTTTAACCGTTAACATTCTGTACATCCTTCAAGATAAAAACATAATTATTCAAATCATTATGCAAATATATACACATCAGTTTTTTTACTTACCTTTCACTGAACATATCTTGGACATCTTTGTCTCCCTGTAAAGTTGCATCATTGTTAAAGTAACCATGTTTATTGACTAGCTTACTGTCAGCTGTCTCCCCTATAATTTTTCATGCATTTTAATCATTTCATCCTAATGGGTTAAACAAAAATTGATATTTAGAATAGTACTTCCTGCTAAGATGTCTTATCTTCAGGAAAGAAAGTTCACAAATGTAGATTAATCTTTGAACATTTTAGAAGTTCTTTCATGTAAGTCCCATTTTTTTTTCTAATAAAACCTTGGACTGTAACTCTTCACCTTTTATTAACAACCTGGCAACTCTTGGCTCAAGAATTATGTGTAGAAGGAAAACAGTGAATTGTAGAATCAGTATTTGCTCGATGACAGTTCATTAGTTAGTGAACGGTCAATCAGGTATGTTGGGTCTTTTTTCCAAACAATTATTTAACCTATAAGTATCTTCTGTTTACAAAAAAACAAAACTTTGTGAGGATAGCGTGTTCTGCTTTTCATTTTGATGAAAATCTTTGAAACAAAACAGTGTTTCATTTCTTCAGATATTTCAGTTGAATTTAAATTGATTTTTCTTTAACCTTAGCACAGGGCTGCTAGAAGTAAATGTCTCAGGAAATTAGATTGTGGTTCCAGGACCTTGATTTTTTTTTTTTTAAAGATTTATTTTAAAAAGAGAGAGTGAGTGCATGAACAGGGAGAAGGGCAGAGGGAGAATCTCAAGCAGAGTCCTCACTGAGCATGGAGCCCCATGCAGGGCTTGATCCCACAACCCTGAGGTCATAACCTGAGCCAAAATCATAACTGACTGAGCCACCCAGGTGCCCCCTAGAGCCTTAATTCTTAAGTCCAATTTGTTATAATCCCATAATAAACTTCACATCCTGCCATATGGATTTTTCAGTGACTGCTACTAATTTGACAGCCTTAGCTCTCCAGAGGACCATAGGCTAGAAAGTAAAGGGGTCAGTCTCTGAATATCAGGAGCAAATAAGCTCCAAGAATTGCAGTTTTGATGCGTACCTGGGGGCATGTGACTGGATGATTTGCCAGTGTGTATGGAAGGACGTTTTCCAGATCACTGTCCCAGTGTCACTAGGCTGAGAAGCACCAGGGTATCAGGAGAAGAAAGCACATTGGTGTGAAGTGGCAAGAGGAGCAGGAAGTTGTTAACTGCATACTAGACCTTTCCATGACCTGTTTCAGCTCCCCTATTTCACGATTGAGGGACTGAAGCTCTGAGCTGAAATGACTTACAAAAGCTCCTCTAGTTATTTATTGAAAGGTTAAAACACAGTTCAGATTGTTTATCCAGATTTGGAAGTGTTTACACCACTGATATTTTTCCCGAGCTTGGTTATGACCATTAATGTGTCATAAAGTCAGTTTAGGGGATTGACTTGCATTTCTTTTTTAAAAAATGAAGAGCAGTAGAATATAAAATCAGAATGCATTATATCTTGCAATACAAATTTGTCTTCATTAAACTTATTTCAGTTTTGCATGTGTGTGCCCTGGGTTAAATAGTAAATGTATTTGTGCATTATGGTCACACTTAGCAAAACTCCATTTTACACCATTTGGAAGCAAAATGGTCTTGAAAGCAAGTGGAAAAGCCCAGCTCTCTGAAGATAGGGTAGCACTGGGGAAAGTCAGGTCTTGCACACCTCAATCAGGAAGACAAGTCTATATTCAGAAAATGTCAAGATAATAATATGCTAGCTAACATAAAATACAGTCCTTTAGGGCCTTTATTTTAGTGGAGTGGCAATTAGAAGAATATTGAAACTTATGTAAAAGGGATGTGGCAGAGATTTTGAACTTGCCCAATGGGAAAGGACAGGAGAAGAGTTCATAATTATATAAGGGGAAAAGGGTGCAATGTACAAATTAAGGAAAATTTAATGAATGAGATATTCATCTTTCGATGTAACACCAAGACCCCGGACAGCTGGCTAAAATCCTTGCCAATTCCATGAAAACTGCTGAACACCTTGTACTATACATATGGCACAGTTAAATTAGACCACCTGAACTGTTCTTTTTTCCATAATTGATTTTCAGTGAAAAGACCAGAGGGTGCTTCACTTTGTGACAGTGCTAATTGAAAACCGCAGTGTATTCTAGAGGCAAATGGAGTTGAGTGAAGTATGTGCTGTCTTTGAAACCTTGCAGTGAGACACCGAAACAGAATCCAGCCCTAACTGTTGAGGGATGGGGAGAGAGTCTGCTGTAGGACCATTCCATGACTCCAGTTTGGACTTCATGTGTCCTTTTAATAGCTTAGTGGTGGTAGGTTTGCTTTGCAGTGGCTGACCGGTGTGACCCTAGCAGGTGCTAGTGAATCACACACTTTAG